AAGAAACTGTCTTGAATCTTACTTTTATAATCATTGAAACAATATGCATGATGATGACTATAATTTTGATTTCTAATATAATATGAAATAGAAAATTCAATTCTTATATTACTTGAACCAAAGGAAGTTATTTTTGTAGGTCATACATGGTTGAATATCAGCAATTTCATATAGTCAATGGAATATTTTGGAGAAGAGGTAGGTAGGAAGAGCCCAGAGGAAAGGAGAAAAATACAACATAAGAAATTAAAGAATAGGGTGACACTTAGGAAAAGAGGATGAGTTTATTCAAACTCTTTATTGACCATAATCAGTTTTTACAAGTCTTGATACACATGATCACTTAATAACTTGGCTTAAAACTTTGGCAGTTATTAAGAGCACACTGAGGTTTAGGTTTAGTGAGACTGTTTTTCCAGAAACTATAAGCAATAGTTACTACATACTTCTCTTTGAATATGTCACTCCTGTCATACTTGACTTCTTGATCAACTCTTCTTAGGAGTTTCCGTAGATGCAAAGAAGTTTCAAATGCTGGCTCTGCACTTACTAGCTGCATTACTTTGGGCAAGTTAAAGTTAATTCTTATGTGCTTATTTCCTCATTAGTAAAATGGGGATAATAGTACCTACTTTAGAATGGTTCTAAAGAATAAATAGCAAATATATGTAGTGTTTAGAACAGTGCCTTGTAGATAGGAAGTGCTATTAAGAGCTTGCTATTATTTCAGAAGATGTATATTTTATAATACTATTCAGATTTTTTATAGAGAGCCCTTTAAAGAGCATCTAAAGGAGCTAATTCCTTGTAAATCAAATATACATCTCTTAGTTGTTGTTCCTTTGAAGAAATATTTCGTATTCAAGAAATGTTTCTGTTTTGTTGTTTTTTGAGACAGGGTCTCCCTCTGTTGCCCAAGCTAGAGTGCAGTGGCATCACCAGAGCTCACTGCAACCTCAAATTCCTGGGCTCAAGTGATCCTCTCACCTCAGCCTCCAGAGTAGCTGGGACCACAGGTATGTGCCACCATGCCTGGATAATTTTTAAAAAAATTTTTGTAGACCTGGAGTCTCACAGTCCTGGCCTCAAGCAATCTTCCTGACTCAGCCTCCCAAAGTGCTGGGGTTACAGGTGTGAGCCACTGCGCTGGGCCTATTCTGGTTTTGAAAAGTACTATAGTACTCAAATATCTACAGTGGCTATGTTTTTACCCAGCTCCCACGCAGAAAAAAAAGTTCATTTAGATCAAATCCTGTAACTTCCTTTCGCTACTATTACTGTGAAAGAATTATGTCCCGTCATTAGGCCAACCTGGTGCAGCAGCTATAATACTTCCCAACTTGCCTTCTCCCACACATGGGAGGGGCTCAGGCAGCTGGGATCCATCACATTCTGCATCTCAATTATACCTATTCTCCCTGCCCAGTAGTTCACTCAACAAAGTTGAGCACCATTCCTAGGTGTTTCATGTTAAATTGATGATCTCAGAACAACTCTAAGACATTCGTGGCATTCCCATTTCACTGGCAGAAACTGAGGTTCTTACTTCTGAAGAAACTTGCCTACAATTACGGGGTATCTTGGTTTGCTAGGGTGCTGCCATAACCAAATACCACAGACTGGGTGGCTTAAACAACAGAAATTTATTTCCTCACAGTTCTAGAGGCTGGAAGTCCAACGTCAAGGTGTTGTCAGGCTTAGTTTCTTCTGAGGTTCTCTCCTTGACTAGCAGGTGGCCGACTTTTCTGTGTCCTCACGTGGCCTTTCCTCTGTGCTCAGTCAGTGCAGGCATCCCTGGAGTCTCTCAGTATGTCCAAATTTCCTCTTATAAGGACATCAGTCAGATTGAATTAGGGCCCATCCTAATGGCCTCATTTAAATTAATCACTTTTAAAGGTCCTGTCTTCAAATACAGTCACATTCTGAGGTACTGGGAGTTAGGGCTCCAAGAAATGAAATTTGGAAGACACAATTCCGCTCATAACACAAGGCTATTATTAATATATGGCTCAGATGAGATCTAAACAAACATCTTTTTGACCTCCAAGAAAATTCTTTCAGCAGAGTGTAAGGTGCACTGAAGAGCTTTAGACTGGAGGCTTAAGAGGTCATTCAGGCAATATTTATGGAACTCCTGGTAAGTGTCAGGAGTGGGAGATATAACAGTCAATAAGATAGTTCCGGCAGGGCGTGGTGGCTCACGCCTGTAATCCTAGCACTCTGGGAGGCCGAGGCGGGCGGATCATTTGAGCTCAGGAGTTCGAGACCAGCCTGAGCAAGAGCGAGACCCCCTCTCTACTAAAAATAGAAAAAATTAGCTGGGCATGGTGGCACATGCCTGTAGTCCCACCTACCTGGGAGGCTGAGGCAGGAGGATCGCTTGAGCCCAGGAGTTTGAGGTTGCTGTGAGCTAGGCTGATGCCACGACACTCTAGCCCAGGCAAGAGAGTGAGACTCTGTCTCAAAAAAAAAAAAAAAAAAAAGACAAAAATCGAACAGACAATTATATTACCCTCAGTAAAACACAACTAGGAATAATTTCTGGGGATTACTTTACATAGGGAGGAAATGCAAAAAGCACTTTGTCAGGATTATTCATGGTAAAAATTCAGTTGTGACCAGGTCAACTAAACATGGCTACTGTGAACTATGTGTTTGGGCATAGAAACAGTTTTGCTAAAAATTGACTTCTCATATACTTTTGTTGTAACGGATTCCTTTAAAAAAACCTACCTGCTCCTTTAAATCACTCTTTTCACTGAGTTTGAATCTAGTTTAAATAGTTCATATTTGAACAAATATGCTAATACTATCATTTATACTAGTGCTAAGTGCAACACCTCTAATCCTTACTAGTCTGCAAGATTGGTTTGATGCCCTGATTACAGATGGACACACAGACACGGAAATTCTTTTTTTGAGACTGGCCCCTGCCCTGTTGCCCAGGCTGGAGTACAGTGGCACGATCATAGCTCACTGCAACCTCAAACCCCTGGGCTGAAGTGATCCTCCTGCCTCAGCCTCCAGAATAGCTAGGACTACCCGTGCGTGCCAGCATGTCCAATTGATTTTTATTGCTTTTTTTTTATTGTATTATGTTTTTTTCCCTTTAATATCATGAGTTTTGAATATTTTGAGTGGTTATTCTGCATCAATTGAAATCAATAGGTCTGGCCGTGGTGGCTCATGCCTGTAATCCTAGCACTTGGAGAGGCTAAAATGGGAGAATCCCTTGAGCTCAGGAGTCGGAGGTTGCAGTGAGCTATGATGATGCCACTGCCCTCATGCCCAGGCAATAGAGTGAGACACTGTCTTACAAAAAAAGAAAAGAAAACTGAGATAAATAAATTTCCCCCTCTTTAATCTGCTTATGAGTTCATATTTCTCCTAGTCTAACATTTGTTTCTTAACTTTGATAAATATCTTTTGCTATACATTTCTTTCCAGGTTTCCCTTTTCAGTTTTCTCCCTTTACCATTAAGTGTTGGACTTCTCCAGTTTCCTCCTTTACTTCTCTTTTTACTGTTTTCCCTTCAAGTGCCTGCTTTTTAGAGTTCTCCCAAGATATCAAAGGTTGGGGTTTTTGGACTAAATGTTTCTCCACTGTTTCCCTCCACAAGCTGGTTTGAATCCAAGTTAAAGCCACGGATTAGAAAACAGGTAGCTTAGACTCCAGCCCTGCCAATCTCTAACAGTTCGACAAGCCCCTGAACAGATCCTTTAGTCCCCTGCCTTTCATTCTCAGAAATAATATTCTGTCCTGCCTACATGCAGGACTAGATGGAAACTCAGATGAATAAATGTGGTAGAACCACTTTGCAAACTAGCACATTATTCACATTGAAGGAGTTGCTGTTTTTGTTACTAAGATTCTCTTTCTTTCTTTCTTTTAGAGATGTGGTCTTGCTATGTTACTCAGGCTCGTCTCCAATTTTTGGTCTTAAGTGATCCTCCCACCTAGGCCTCCCAAAGTTCTAGGATTACAGGCGTCAGCCACCGATCCCACATAAATTCTTAACAAATGTGACTTCAGCAATAATGAACGCTATAATGAGGCACCCTGGGGGATTTGAATCTGAGCTGTGGTCTTTCCAAGAGCTACTCTGGCAACTGGTTTCTGGTAACTTCGTACTTATGAGCTGTGGAATTCTAAATTTTAGATGCTGCAGAAAACTAAACTATACTTCAAGGGTTAAGGCTTTAAAGTGTATTAATCTCTAGTTTCTACGTCCTATCGTACAAATAGTTAATAGTTGAAAAACACAAAGGGAGTATCCACATTTCCGTTGTCTCTCCACGTGTAAAATAATATTTAGTATTGAGTCTTCACAACTAGCAGCACAATGGGGAGAAACTGTAGAAAATCGTCATCTCCGCAAGAAGGCACTTTAGCACATCGTTTTAACGTTTAAAACCGACAGGATGCCAAGGAGGGAGAAGTACCTAATGCACAAGGTGCCAAACACCGGTGCGGGAACTAGAGCGCTCACCCACTTCCGTAGTGCCGCAGGCGCAGCAAATATACGTCACGCAGGGAGGCGGGACTTTCAGCCTGCGTATCTTATTAGACGGAAACCTAGAGGCCTCATTTCTTGTGCGTTTAGGGACGCACCGGAGAAGGCAAACGGTACTGGAGGGGCATCTTCTGATTGGTTGTCTCGCCGGCTTTGCCCGCTCACCGCGGTTTCCGTAGAAGTGGTGACGTTTGGGCTAAAGCTCTGGGCGAAACGAGGCCCCGCCACAGGCCTTTCTTTGGCCCCGTCGTTCTTCCGGGGCGCGGTGTCAGCCGCTGGGAAGCGCTCCAGCCTGGGCATTCCCCCTTCCTTACTCCAGTTGACGCGGTTCCGCCTGAAAACCCGTGGGTTCTGTATTAGTTTTCATCTTTCCTGAGTGGGAGCAGGGAGAGCCTCCTCCTGGGGTCCTGGGCGGTGGACCCGCCGTTTCTAGAAGAATTAGAATAAAAGTTCTTCCGAGATCCGTTCTGAGGACGCACCTGCCTCATGGGAGTCCAGGGGCTGTGGAAATTGCTGGAGTGCTCCGGGCGGCAGGTCAGCCCGGAAACACTGGAGGGGAAGATACTTGCTGTTGGTATCCTTAACGCATCCTTGATTTTTGGGATGCAGTGATTTGTGGCTGGATTCTACTCGTGGCCTACCATTGGGCGCAGAGTGGTGTTTGCGGGATGCTGGTCTTTGAGGGAAGGGTGGGAGAGGAAGTTATAGAATTTTTTTTCGCTAGGTTTTCTTTCTAAGTACAGTCGTTCCTAGGTATCCGAGGGGGATTGCTTTCAGGACACTCCCCCACCCATACCTGGATATTCAAGTCCCTTATGTAATAGCTTAGTATTTGCATATAAACTACGCACATCCTCCCGTGTACTTTAAATCATCTCTAGATTACTTATAATACCTCATACAATGTAAGTGCTATGTAAACAGTTGTTATACCGTATTTTTTAAAAAACTATTTTTTTACTGCATTATTTATAATTTCTCCCCCAAATATTTTTGATCTGCGTTGATTGAATCTGCGGAAGCGGGTGAATAAGGAGAGCAGACTGTATCTACATTCCTCAGGCTTTGCTATCATACAGCTCTGTGAATCCTGGTTTTGTCACTTTGGGGCTGTGCTTTAGTTCTCTCATCTGCTAAGTGGAGGTGGTAATAATATCTACACACGGGATTAGTATGAAGAATAAAGGAATTACTTAAATGAAAGAACTTTAGTGTAGTGTCTGGCACTGTTAAGACCGTAAATCTTAAACTTATTATCCCGGCTGGGAGGTCAGCATTGAGAGAAGGAAGTAGACTTCCCACCATTAGTTTTGTCTGCTGTCATGAGTGGTGCTTCATTTGTGCTTCTTATTTTTTTTTTTTTTTTTGACACACAGTCTCATTCTGTTGCCCTGGCTAGAGTGAGTGCCGTGGCGTCAGCCTAGCTCACAGCAACCTCAAACTCCTGGGCTCAAGCGATCCTTCTGCCTCAGCCTCCCGAGTAGCTGGGACTACAGGCATGCGCCACCATGCCTGGCTAATTTTTTTTTTTACATATATTTTTAGTTGTCCACATAATTTCTATTTTTTTTAGTAGAGACGGGGTCTCGCTCTTGCTCAGACTGGTCTCAAACTCCTGAGCTCAAACAATCCACCCGCCTCGGCCTCCCGGAGTGCTAGGATTACAGGTGTGAGCCACCACACCCGGCCTGTTTCTTATGTTTTATAGAAAGAGTAAGGGATAGTGTGGACAGGTGTTTGACCTTTTTTTAAACTGACTTTTTAAAGGACTGTTTGTATGCAGGTTTGCCTGGTTTTGTTTTTGTCATTGGAATTAAAATTTTTTTCATTATCAAACATCGGACAGTGTTTTTGAAGTCTTGATCTTTTTATTCAAGTATTAAAGTTTTTTTGAGTGCCTAGTTTGTCTCAGAAGCTGGTAGTTCTTATACAAGTTTGCTAAATGGGGACCTATGAGCCTAGGGCTAATTGGCTTGTGGAAAACTCATGTACATAATTGCCGGGGGCAGGGAGGGAGAGGTGCAATTCAAGACTGTATGAGAGTTCAGCAAACGAATCCTTGACTGAGGAGCCGTAATTCTGCAGAATGTCCAAAACTTACAAGTAATACAACACTGATAATTTTAAAAATGCAGTAAGATTGTTATAATTTTGTTAAGTGAATAATCTTCAAATACATCTGTAATGAAATTTTGGCTTGTAAGTTTTGATGCAGGGTGCCTCCAATTGTGGGAAACGAAAGATTTTTTCTTTTTTTTTAAAGCACTTGGGCTGTTGCTGCGCTCCAGCGATTCCTCAGTGTCATTGCATTCTAAAAATTTCCTTAGAACTATTGATGGATGAAAGGACAGTTTCAGTGACAGGGATCTTTAAAACGTCAGCAAAGATTTAGATCATTTTATGTTGCAGCTCTTATGATGAATTAAGAATATGTAAAGTCATTGAGATGACGCATGAAGTTTAGCATTCTAATTTTTTAGGACAGTGTTAAAGTGAGAAAAGGTAAAGCATTTAATTTAGATTACCTATTTGTAGATGGCTTTAAGAGGCACTTTTGGGATGTGAAGTCATTTTTACAGGGTTATTAGGCTTTTCTGAAAGAATGAATCATTTATCTAAAGATGACTGTCAAAGATATTCTAGTTATAATGGCAACTTCATATATATTACATAACTTCATATATATGTAAAAGAATATTTGATTACTTGTTCTACAGTTGATTTTGCTTTGTTTCATTTTCATGGGAATTCAGACATATGAAATATATTTAGATTTTGTTGTTTGTTAATGAAGAACTTACCTGTGACTATACCAGGTTCATAATTTATTCTTGTTTCCCTAAATAAATTGTTTGGCCTTGTAACTAACTGTATAGCTGAGTGTCTTATTTGTTTATACAATTTAAATGTCTGTGTTAAATAACACAGAATTAACAGTTTTATTTCTGTTTCTTGCGGACTTTTACATTTGTAAAATGCATTTAAGTGTATTAGCAAGATACTACTATCTCTTTGGGTATATATACTAAGGGGGATTAATTAAATTTTAAATCACCTAACTAGAGAACTAAAGAAATTTATTTTTCAAATTGTTATTGGTCTTTTGGGTCTTATATCTAAAGTGGTTTTCGGCTTTGCTGCAGATTTTAACTTTCCTGGGCCTGTGAGAAATTTAATTTTGCCTTATATAAACTCATTGAAATTAGACAAGTCAAATCATGCAAATATTTTCAGCTTGTCTAATTTTACATATTTCTTCTCTAAGAATTTCAAGCTGGAACTCTCAACCCTAGCCAAGAATTGATACCACTTGTGATTAATTAAAAAATTAAAAGGCCAGGCAAGCTGGCTCACACCTGTTATCCTAGCACTATGGGAGGCCGAGGTGGGAGGATGATTTGAGGTCAGGAGTTTGAGACCAGCCTGAACAAGAGCGAGACCCCATCTCTACCAAAAATAGAAAAAAATTAGCCAGGTGTGGTGGTGCATGTCTGCAGTCCCAGCTACTCTGGTGGCGGCTAAGGCAGGAGGATCTCTTGAGCCCAGGAGTTTGAGGTTTCAGTGAGCTATGAGCATGCCATTGTACTCTCCCTGGGCAACAAAGTGAGACTGTATCTCAAAAATAAATAAATAAAAATAAATAAAATTTAAAAAATCTCAGTCTCTGATTTAGAATTTTAGGCATATGGGGTTTATTAGTCTATATGTTTCAAAAGCTTCATATCTGATTCTAATGGGTAGCAGAATTGAGAGCCACTGATCTGGAATTAGATTTTCTCTCTTATGGAAACTCATTTAGTCCTGTGCAGTAGTGTAGCAAGCAGAAACGTTTATCTAATACAATACAGATCTAAGTTAACACCAGATCTGACTTCTAAGATGGATCCTTTGTCCAACCACTTCTCATAGTCTCCACCACTACCATTTCACTGAGATTCTTGTAAGTAGTATTAAAACTGGTTTCCTTATAGTTTATTCTTCACACATCCACCAGGGTGATCTGTAAGTCACATTCTGGACACTTGCCAGGGGCTGTGTCAACTCTGGCCATTCCTCCTCTTCTGCTGCACTGGTCTTCCAAACAGCCACGTGCTTTTGTCCCAGGGCCTTTGCATCTGCTGTTCCTTTGCCTCCTGGTTTACTTCTCCACTCCTCTTGTTCACTCTGGCCTCTGTTACCGCTTCAGATTGGCCTTGCCTAACTAAAGTGTGCTGGACCACCCCTCCCAACCCAGCACCCTGGTCACACTTTTGTCCTTTTACTCTGTTTTTTTCTTGGCACTTACCAACAGCCTAATGTATATCTATTACTTTATTTCTTTATTGTCAGTCTTCCCCACTAGAATGCAAGCTTCTTGCAGATAGGGGCCATATCTGTTTTGTTCACAGCTATATCGTTTGTGTATATCGCTAGGGTCTTGGGTATGCCTGGCTTGTGGTAGAGCTCAAATATTAGAGGCATAAATATAACAATAGCTTGCTTTCCACTGGTTATTTCATTACATGATGTTTGTTTAGTAAGGTGTTGATAGGCCTAAATTTTTTTGTGTGTGATAGTAAAAGTTAGGCAATATACATTCACTTAAATATTAAACTTTTCAACTCATTTAATATTTATCGTCTGCTCTGTGATAGGCCCTGTGAAAGAGAGTACAGGGCCCAGAAGTGTGGTCTAGACAAGCTGTGGACCTCAAGCTTGATTTCCTCCTCCCCTACTAGATTGTAATCTCCGTAGGGCAAATGCTTTGTTTTGTTTGGTGTAGAAAAATTGCTGCCACATAATAAACAATACATTTTTGAATAGGAGCATATAACTGGAGGTCTTAATCTAAGCTGAAGAAGTGATCTTTTGATCTCAGAGTAGGACGGAACTGGGCTGGGAGTGGGAGAAACTGTTTCAGGCAGAGGAAGGAGCATGTGAGAAGACCCTGGAGGCAGGAAGGAGCTTAGTGATTGCCAGGGTTTGAGAAAAACCCAGTGGATTTAAATGAGAGGGCGATCATGGGCTTCACAGGCCATGGGAAGAAGTTTTAGGTATTATCCTAAAGGCCATGGGAAGCTTCAAAGAGTTTTCAATGAGGATATATCGGTGAAATCTAATATATACCTTTAAGATATATTAGAAGGTAGAATTGATGGTTGAATGAGGGGAGTGTGTGGTATGACACCCAGAACTGTGGCTTGGGTGAATGACAGTGACATTTATGAGTTGGAGCATGAACAGCCTAGGGGAAAAGAAGTGGAGCTGAGTTCTGATCATGTTAAGCTTGAAATGTCTGTAAGGAATCGGATAGAGACGTAAGCTAGGCTCTTCCTTCTGGGTCAGGAGAGTGCTCTGGGCTAGACAAATGCATGTGGATACTGTGTGGGGTGTGTTGAGCTAGCCTTGGTAGAAAGTGCAGCCAGGAGGAAAGAAGAGGGCTAAGAAAGATCACTGGTGAAGTGACCACTTTCACAGTGAGTTACAGGAGCTGGCAAAGAGATTGAGAGCAGGAAAACCAGCAGAGTGCCGTGTTACCCTTTCTTATGGACAAATATAAAATAAATAAAATTGGGAATAGTTATAGTATTTTCACAGAATTCTGGTATTAATGAGATACTTATGCAAATGCCCATCACATTGCCTAGTACATTGCAGGTACTGAGCAAATAATTACTATTGTTATACTTACTGCTATTGCTTTATCATATGCAATATCCCTTAATGTGGAACTTACATAATCTAGCCTGTTAAATTTTTGTTACAAACTCTCTATTTTTTTTATTTCAGCATATTACGGGGGTACAAATGTTTAGGTTATGTATATTGCCTTTGCTCCACCTGAGTCAGAGCTTCAAGTATGTCCATCCCCCAGACTCTTGATTAAAAATATGAATACTTGAAATACTTATATACTCAGCAATTTTCAACTATACACTACATTGTTATTAACTATAGTCACCAGGTCGTACCATAAATCTCTTGAACTCAGAAAGGAAATTGTTTAACTTAGGTTCTACAGTAAGTTCAAGCTACAGTTCAGCTCTGGTTTGTCTTACCTGAAGAAGTGTGTTCTTTCCAACACTCCGTAGTTCATTAATCCTTTGAATCGCTGAAAAGGCGGTGCATGTGCGGGCCCCCAACACACCTGCATGTGCAG